GGAGGAGGAGGAGGAGGAGGAGGAGGAGGAGGAGGAGGGGCTCGGTGCTCCTGGCCCCACAAGGCTCCGGGGCAGCCTGGCCACAAGCCACAGCGCCTCTCCTCCCAGGAGCCGCACCCCACTTCTCCACCCCCTCCCTGTCTTGCACCTGCTGAGGGACAGGCTCCACAGAGCAAGGGGGCGGCAGGCTGCTTGGCTCAGCAGGGCCTGCTTCGGGGGGGTGCCATCGTGGCATAGCCACAGCCTTTCTTGTGGGGGGGGGTCAGGGGCCACACACGGAGCATTTCAGTCCTTGCTCGTACGCGTGTGAGCCCTTTCTTCCCTGCATGGTCCCCAGCAACTCAATTTAGGGCGGTGGGGAATGCTTTATTCTTTTTCTTTTTTGCTGTTGATGTGGTGAAACCCCCTGGGGTACGAGACCTCAATCAGCCCCCCACGATGATGGGGAGCACCCCATTTTTCACCTCTGATGGCAAAACGTCTTCGGTCAGCCCAACGTATAACTTTAAAGTCAGTTCCCAAGTCACACTGCGGAAGCGTTTTCTAAGCCAGGCTGGCACTGCAGCTCCCACGGCCTCCGGCCAACATGCCCAATGGTCAGGGACTGCAGTCCCAAACGTCTGGAGGCCTCCCAGCTGTCCTGATCCAAGAAGCACGCTCAAAAATGCAACCTTCACATGTACTGGGCAACAAGGCTATTAGGAGCCAGCAAATTTCCTCAAGATTGTGCAAGCTTCTGAGTTCCTCAGAACTCTTGGTCAGGTCCAAAAACAAGAAAGAAAGAAAGAAAGAAAGAAAGAAAGAAAGAAAGAAAGAAAGAGCAAAACGGAGAATGACAGCATGTGATCGGGGAAGACGCGCCAGTCCTTCGAACTGGCCAGGTATCACGACCACGAGACCCGCCATTTGGGCAGAGCCAGTTTCACAAATATTGGGGCTTTGCTTTCTCCCCCCAAACCCCCCCCCCCCCGAAGAGTTCTTGAGAACATGAAGGCTGGCACGGGGACTGAGCCCCTGGCGTGTGCATGCCTCCTGGCCAGGTCCCTGCTCTCTCCCCAGCGCACTCGCCTTGCGTGCAGCCTGTGGCTAACCACTTCCCGTGGCCTTCCCGAAGCCCAAGCCCCGTGACCCGTCCGTGGCTCACTCTCCCCTTCCTGTCCCCACAGCGCAACCTTCTTGTTTCCGCAGGATCAGACAGGCCAAACCGCTGCCTTGGCACTTTCAGGGCTGCCCCAAATGGACACATTCATTCTTAGTCTGTTTTCTTCCTCAATTGGGACTGGAAATTTCAGAAGCCGCAACCTTATATCCACCTCTGTGAAGACTTTTTCGCTCGACGCCCAGCTGGTTCCTTTACCAGTTTGACTCACTAACTCTAGTTTCAAACGCGTCTGTTTTCCATCCCGTTATGACTTACAGCCTCATAATTAGCTATTTAAGCAGACAATCTGCAGACATACAAATAATTGTGAAACAGGAGGGGGGACATGGGTACCCCGCTTTAAAAAGGGTATTGCAGAGGGTTGGGGCCAAGGGCAGAAAGGAGCAGGCCAACGGAACCAGGGGCTGAAGCAGGACAGGGGGCAACATCCCGGATTGTTCGGCTTACGGAAAAGGTGCAGAGGAAGAGGCAAGACAGGTGTGCAGGGTGCGGAGGGGCGCACTGCGTAACCTTCTGCATGATGCTGGGATCCAACAGGGACAGCTCATGGCTGGGGGATTCAGGCGGGCTGTCTTTGCCTGAGTAGCTGAATTCTTCCCCACAAGAGGCTCTGCTGGCCATCAGTTTGGACAATTTGGATTTGAGGGTGGGGGGAATGGGCCAGTTAAGAGGGCTCTCTGAGGCTGCTTTCCCGATGGTGCTGGGCCATCCCGTATCAGAGGCAATAGGCCTGGGTGCACCGCTTGCTGGGGAACATGGGCAGCCAGCATGGATGCCCTGCTTGCTGGATGGCCTCTGTGAGAACAAAGCCCTGGGCGAGGCGGACCATGCCAATCTAGCATGAGTTGGCAAAGGATCTGCCCCCTCCCCACCCCCAGTGTTTCTGTAATTACTCGCACTTGAAATATTCGTCTCCTCAGAAGAGAACAAACAGAAGAATTGCCGACATCACAGGGCTCTGCAGGTCCTGGGAGCGAGTCATCCAACCAACTCCAACGGAGATTCCTCAACAGAGCCTTTCCCGACCCGCTTCATCTTACAACCCCGACGCCACCTTTCGGGGCACCCTCCCAGAAGAAACCCAGAAAGAGCTGTTTGCCTGCGCCATGGCGGCATCCTGGCAGCTTGCTCCTGGCCGCCGCTGGCACCATCGAAAGATCGCTCCACGCAGTCCAACTGGCGACTGCTGACCAAGCTCCGCGGCCGCCCGGCAGGGAGCTCTGAGCAGCTGGCAGCGTTGCCCGTCGGCCGATTTTGTCCCCACAACAGCCCTGCATGGGAGCTCTGGGTCTCCCGCCCAGAGCGCCTGCCCCGTGCCAGTCCGCACGTTCGGAGGGGGCTGGAGAGGACTGTGCCTTGGCAGGGCTGCCGGCGTTGTGCCACCGAGCTCGTTTCCCGGAGGGGCTGCTCCCTGCCCCCTCACCCCGCTGTGCTTGACTGCATCTCCTGGGACTTCAAGCAAGTCCCTTAGCTGGCAGGTCGGCCTGCTGCCTCGTGGCGCCATCTTCTCTGGGCACCACAAGCTCTGTGCCAGGAAGCCTGGGTTGCCCGGTGGGGGTTTGGGGGCGCGACTGCTCCTCAAGCTGCACCCCTCGGCCCTCTGGAGGAACATGGAGGCGAGAGGCCCCAGGGGACCAGGGGCGCAGGGCTGGGGCTAAGGCGCTCTGGGTCCTGGGCCCCGCTCAGCCAGGGAGCCCACTGGGTGACTGAGGCCAGGAAGTGGCCTGCCTCACAGGGCTGTTGTTGTGCGGATGAGAGGGAGGGCGGCAGGGGGAGAATGAGGTGAGGACCTGCTCTGAGTTCCCTGGGGAAAAGCAGGATGCGGAACGAATCGATAACAATAGCAACCGCAGGAGTGTTGTGTGAGTGGCTTCATCCCGCTGGATGACGTTGCTCCTGCTGGAATCGGGGCACCATCTCGGCTGGGTTTTTTATTTTTGTTGGTTGGCTGCTCTGGCAAGTGCAGCTGCTGGAGCGACTAATGTGCAAAACTGGACAGGCACCAGGCACCCTGCCGGAAGTGGGTGAAGGAAGCCACCCTAGGCCTGTCTTCCTCAAGCTCTCCAGATTTCTTGCACTACACTT